TATAATATATATAATATATATATATATATATATATATATATATATATATATATATATATATATATAATCTTTATCAAAAAGATATTATTGTTATGTTTTAAAAATTTTGTTATGTTTTAGGATAATTGCCCCAAATAACATTGATTTTAATTTTGATACACTAGAATATTTTTAATTAAATTATAAGTAACCACCATGTTATTTATCTCATTGTTGGCGTATTTTCAGTTAAATATACTTGTTTTTTTTTCAAATTGTGCGCATAATAAACTTTTATAACATAAATCTTAATTTCAAGTAATCGTAAAACTAGAAGAACATCTACTTACAATAGTATCATATAATCGATGATGACATAGTGATATCATATGCTTAACTCTTCGACAATAGATGAATAATACCTTACCGTTATATAAGCAACATTTTAGTGATATGTCATTGTCACATAAATGATAAATCAACACCACATGACCCACATTTCGATGCCATGTGAATGACACATTAACGTCATATGGATGACATGAAATTGATATGGACGATACACTAGAACTATGTGGTTTGCACATGACTAACAATGACGAGAGTAAGGATCAAAAGAGATCACTATAAAAGAACTTTCTAGGTTTATTTCCAAACTATTAACTAAATTATTTAAACCTAAAATATCTTAAATATCGAAAGGGTATTTGTTAGTAACACCCACTATAGTTTTATAGGATTCTAAACCTCTATAATTGAATAAGTATAGTATTAAGCAAAATTAAATTATGATAGATGTGAAAGGGACCACAATTTGCTCCCAAATTTTTACTTAACAACAACTAATGAAGAAAATTCAATCATGATACAAATTAAAAGTTTATATAATAATTATGATTATTTATGAATATGAGAAAGAATTATTATTTATTCTATTCCATTCATAATAATGGAACAATCATGTTAGGCAAAACAAAGAAAATCTATTCGATATCCCATAAGTATATCGAACTTATCAAAATTCATTATGAAATAATATTCCAAAAAATTGACCGTAATATATCTGATTAAAACATAATATCACGAGAAATAGATAAATTTGTGACTGCTTCTTACTATTAGATTCTTTAGCTTTTTCATCTGAATTTACATTAATTTTACAAGATCCGACAAAGTTGTATGAATATATTTAAAGGAACCCTAAATTGAATTAGGGAGTAAGACTAATAGTATATAATTTGGGAGAAATTGAAATATACTATTTTTTTTCCGAAAATAAAAATGATAATAAATTACGATTAACTTTTTTTGAATAGAATAATTTTTAATATAAATTCATCGAGAAAGCCACATCAGCAATGGTAAATTTGGCCTTTCCCGGCAAACAAACACGCACGAAAAATTGAAATCGCTGCGCCGAAGCCCTTTAAGCATCATCGCTGATCAAACCAAATCCAACCGTCCGATCTCCTACCCGGCAGCCAATTTAGTCGCCCGCCTCGCTCCTCTCCTCAGTCACGCAACGCGTTCCTCTTTCTCCGCCATGGCTTCTCCGGACCAAACCCACTCCGTCGAAGAAGCCCTAGCGCAAGATCCCGTTCCCTCCGAGGCCATGGCCCCCGAGGAGGCGGCCGCGGTCAAGGACCTTGACTGCAGTGGCGGTTCCTCGAGTGCTCCCGAAGAAGAGGGGCCCGAGAAAACCCTAGTTCACGCGGACGAGCTGTTCGAGAAGGGGTCCAAGGCGATAGAGGACGGGGACTTCGTGGAGGCCGTGGATTGCCTCAGCCGCGCCTTGGAAATCAGGTTAGGGCTTCGTTCTGCGACCTTTCGATCTTTTTCATCCTTTAGTTGTACTCTTCGATGGCTGAGTTCGATTTATGCTTCTATTTGCATCGTTAATTTTGTCTGTGGAACCAACACGCTGACATATCTGTATATGTCTTACATCTTAATATTTCTGGAAAAGTCGTATCTTTTAATATTTTGACAACCTTTTTTCCCCCGAAAGGTTGATATATTGAAATTTGTATCGTCCAAGTTTACAATGACTGATGATGACTGTATGTAGATGTTTTTTCGTCATATGCCAATTCTCTTGGTTTACATGTTCATCTGTCTATATGTTTATCATATTAGAATTTGTGGGGGTATATATATGTATACACACACATGTATGCAATACGGTTGTTTGGGAACTAAACTGGATGATTGATAGCGTTAGTATGGTTTATTTCAGTAGTTATCTGTTAGAAAATTGATATAATTTCTGATAATTAAATACCTTGTGTACCCTTTTTACTTTACAAACTCATGCTAATAGACACTTTTTGTGTGTGAAAAGATAATGCCTTAAAAGTTGGACTGTCGCTAAATCAATGTATGAATGAGGAAATAGTATGCTGCTTGGTCTGCAGTGTTGTGGACGTTTCATGTTGGTATCTACAATGACCTGCAATGTTGTATACAAAGTGCGTTATTTATTTGTATGATTGTACTTTCAAGCATGATATTTTTTTTTATGTTTTTGATGACCATTCCTCTGATGTACCTTCAGTTACCATTTTATTTGTAATGTAGTTTTAATTGTGATGTTAAATTGATTGATTAAGCTTTGAGAGGGGAAACAAAAGGGGAGAGGAAGCCAGTGGAGAAGAAAGAGGAGGGAGGTGAGAAAAGCATGAAGATGGAAGGAGGGCAACAAGAAGGATGGTTGTTAGCTATGGAGAGAAGAGAGAGGGGAACAAAGAAGAGAAAGATGAAAAATGAGGGCAGAGAGGACAGCAAAATTGGGTGTTGGTTGTAGAGAGAGAGAGAGAGGAGAGAGGAGAGAGGATAGGATAGGATAGGATAGGGTGGGAAGAGGAGGAAAGTTAGATTGACAACAGCAGAGGGTTCTGGCTACACATAGACGAGAGGTAGAGAGAAGGTAAGATGGAGGAGGGGGCGATAGTTAAGTAACTCTGGTCACACATAATTGAGAGATAAAGACGGAAGACAGAGGAGAGGGCGATGACTAAGAACCTACAGAGACAGGGGAGAAAGAAGAGGTAGGAAAAAGGAAGTGAAGAACAGGGGAGACACACTGGACAAGGAGAGACACAACCAGTGGAAGGCAATCGATGGTAAGAATGCTAGGGCATAACACATGTATCAGGCATGGGGGATTATTTTTGGAGCAGCTTGGAGAGAGGGGGGAGAATTGGGTTTTTATCCTGTCAGTGGTATTTAGGTCACCTGGGCTAGTCTTTCTGAGTGCCTAGGATGCACAGCATGTTTATTGTTGCTTAGTTGAAGGTGCCTTGTGTATAGAAGTATAGCACACAGCTACACACTGAAGCCCTCAGCCTCATCTCGCCTTACCCGAGTGCTTCTTGACATTATTGAGTTTAGTTGATTTATTTCTGTATCTTATATTATTTAAAATCCGACATTGTATAATTATTTTGAGAAAAAGCAAGTGAACTTTCGTTATGATTCACTTAAGCTAGAAAATAGAGCACTTAACTTGGTGTTCTGTCCCTGAAATCTCGGCTGGTGGGCATATTGGTTAGTGATCAAGAAGATATGGCATGAGACAATTGCTTGAACTTTTTGACTGATAGGCATTATAGTAGTGTAATTTTTTGGTTAATTATTACTTATTCTTCCATATTTAGATCATGAATTGATTTGTTTTTAATCTATTGATGATAACTGTAATCTAACTTTTTGTTTCAGGGTTTCACATTTTGGTGAACTTGCTCAAGAATGTGCTAGCTCATATTATAAGTATGGTTGTGCACTACTGTATAAGGCTCAAGAAGAAGCTGAACCACTGGGTAACTTCCCTAAGGGCCCACCAACAAGTGTAGAAAAAGCCAAAACTTCTAGTTGCACAGAAGAGAGTGGAAGTTCATCAAAGGCTTCTGTTGACAATTCTAAAGAAACACCAGTTGGGAAAGAAGTACCTGACGGTATTATTTTACAATCCACATCTCTCTTCTTTACAAGGTCCAAGATAGCGATTGCCTTATCTCTAATTAACCTCATCAACACTATAT